TCCAAGTGAGTGCTCAAAGAGGCAGGTGTTAGAGTCTCATGCTCAGGGTGTGAGTTCTGCTAATGGGTTCAACAGGTAGAGAATAGCCAGAAAATCAGCCCCAGAAGGCAGCCCCTGTGAGTGACAGTGCCACAGAGGGACTAACAGAGCCCTTCAACTAGAGATTTGCAGAGCAGAATGGGGAGGTAACATTTTGTGCCGTCTCCCTTACAAAGCCAAGCCCAATGTGGGCAGGGCTCAGGCAGTCACCCTGCTGCCAAACTCCCGGTGACTTCCCAGAAGTCTAGGGTCCCCTGGGACTGGCTCCACCCTACATGGCAGCTCTCCAAGCTAGACGTCCATATCAGCAGGTCCTCATGGCTCCCTTACTCTTTCACCCAGTGACAATAGGACAAGGGCATGCTCACCCTCATCCCTAAACAGGAAAGTGTCAGTCTCCTAGGTATCTCCCTGGCATCACCCTCCTGTTCCCACCTGTTGTTCCACTGGCTAGAGGCATCACCTGAGGTCAAGGGTTCACATGGAATGTACTCCTCTGGGCCTGTTTCCCTTCCTGGGTTGGCATCAGCATGAATGCTAAGTCAGAAAAGCCTAGTGGTCACCACTAATTCACAAGGCCTCCTCCAAGACTTCCTGACCCCAGCCTAAAACAGAGCTAGTATGACCTTGGGGAAGATTTATGAGGACAGAGTTAAAATTGGATCTGAAGGGTAAGAACTTTTGATTAGAAAGCCTGGCCTGTGGTAAGGAGTGAAGGCCATCCTGGCCATCTGTCCCCAAAGGTCAGGCACTTCTGAGCTGGGCCATCCTGGGAGGACCATGGCTGTAGTGGGCAGAGGTTCTGCCCCTAGTAGGAACCTCTGGTCAGGCCTGAATGAATCACTTACTTTGAGAGTCACCAAGTTTGGTAGGGGGTGGGGAATAGTTATGACTAAAGTTAGCCTCTGGGCATTGCCTATCCCACCCTACCCCAAGCTGGGCAGGAGCAGAGGGAGGAAGGCAGGGCGGTAGAGGCACCTCTGGGTGTCATGTGACGGTCCAGGATGGCACCCAAGGCCCATAGCCAGCAGGGTGGAGCCAGTGCTTTGTAGGCAGCCTATGTGGGCAGATGCTGCCAAGCAGAAGGGCACTGAGTTTTCCTCAGAAGTCATAGACTATGATGGAACCCAGGGTAAGTTGTAGAGGCAGAGAGGAGTCCCTTCCTCCTCTAACCTTCCTCCTTTGATGGTGGGCTATGGCTTCCCCCACAGAGGGCCCTGTTTCTGCCTGCGCTCTTGCGTGCTTTCCCATGAGTCCCCTCACCATTGCTTCTGTTGTGTGCTTCACAAGACCTGACTTTCCCATTCTTTTGTCTCTTTTACTCCTAGAGGTAGGTCTGGCAAGTGACCAGGACATGGACTACCAGTTTTTAGGTCACCCCTCTGCCTTCAAGTACAGACAAGGCAAGTGAGCCCAGAGACAGGAACAGCTTTGCCCAGGGTCACACAGCTTAGGTCATATCCACACTGTACACTGTCTGTGAAGCCCTGTTCCCAGTGTCATGTCCCAGGCCCCAATATACTGCACAGTGCTGGTCTGGGGGACAGGGAAGGACAGGATGAGAAACTACTCTGGTGGGGGCCTGCACAGCTGTCAAGGTGCATTGTGGTGTGGCTACCAGGACTAGCTGGCGGGCACAATCTGTTCTCACCCTGCTGGGGTACGAAAGGGCCAAGTACCACAGCTCAACAGCTCAGCTGTGCAACCTCTGGCAAAAGGGACACAGTCGCTGGCTGGCTGCCGCAGTGGGAGCAGGGAAACCATTCTAAGAACAGCCCTGAAGCCTCCACATCCAGAACAGCTGTCCCCAGACCTCCCTGGGCTTTAGGATTCAAATAGCCCTGGGCTGGCAGAAACACCAGCTTTACTGGAACTCAGCTGCTACCAAGCCTGGTGCTCTCTTGGAAACGTGAGAATACTCTCCTTCATTATTAATCAGTGAGCTATTATTGGATACTTGGTATATACCGAGCTCTAGACTAAGTACATCTCATACTTTATCTACTGATTCCTCCTAAAGCCCTTGCTGCAGGTCACTTATTAGCCCCATTTTACAGATGTGGAAACTAAGGTTCAAAGAGGATGGATGGATGGATGGATGGATGGATGGATGGATAGATAGATAGATAGATAGATAGATAGATAGATAGATACAGAGGGGGGATTTGAACTCAGATCAAACACAAAACACACAATATCCTGGCCAACAATGTAATCATCAAGTGTATTTGAGACTCCCTTAGGAGGTCGAAGTTAGAGGGGACCATGATAGGCCTACCAGTGCCTCCCCAAGTTTATGGTTACTTTCATGTAGTTGAGGGCTCTAGAGTTCAAAAGCAGAGTATTCTCAGTAACACCCAAATAAGGCACTGATCACTTTCGGCTAGGTGGAATCCAGGAAGACTGCCTGGAAGAAGTAGCATGTGGTTACACTCTCATAAGACACAGAAAAGAGGAAAACTTGGAAAGGCTGCCAACATAATTTTATTATAATTATCTTAGCAAAAGTTGAGATAGTTATTCTCCCTGGGCCAATGGGAGAAGCAAGTGGCCAGACCAGAGGAGTTCTTTTTCAAATGAGGAAATATGATCAAAGAGAGGAATTCATTTGCTCAGAGTCACAAAACCACTGGTGATGAGGCCAGAACTTGTGTTCAGAGGCTTCTGAGTTCCCATCTTGGGTCATTTTCCTTTAGATAGCCAAGCAGATTTTGATTGGAGATTAAGTCTTACTCTGTGGCACAGACTGCCTCCCAACTCTCACTCCTCCTGCCCTAGCCTCCCAGATGCTCAGGCAACAGGCATGCACCACCTTATCCAGCTCAAGACAGAATTCTTTTTTTAAAAAAAATTATTTATTAATTTTATTTTTTTATGTGTATGAGTATATTGTCTTCATGTATGTAAGTACACCCATGTTTTGCAATGCCCACAGAAGTCAGAAGAGGGCATTGGATCCCATGGAATTGGAGTTATGGACAGTTGTTAGCCACCATGTGGGTGCTGGGAATCAAACCTGGATCTTCTACAAGAGCAGCCAGTGCTCTTAACTGATGAGCCATCTCTCCAGCTCCAACAGGGTCAAATTCTTGACAGCCATTTGATGGTCAGTTCAGAGGGAGGTTTGATTCTGCCTAGCTTCTAGATGGGAAGAGAACATGGAAACAAAAAACGTTGAGGACAGGTGCAGAATGGGGGAGAGCATAGAGATGGTCCAGCTAGTGATAGTAACTCTCAAAAGGACACTCTGGACTCCTGCTTTGCCCAGGGCAATATCCTATGGAGCAAGCCCATAGGAAGACCCCAGTGCCCTGGTCCCAGCCAGGATGGAGACCCTGGAGTGTACTCATCCAGCTAGGAGGGGCTCAGGCAGCTGGCCTCCTATCTCTTTCTCTACCACTGCTGGGCCAGGTACTCAGGGAGACTGGAGGCCCCCAGTAGACATCACTACCCTTTAAGTTTTGACTGCAACAGAGAAATCATCTAGAAGCCATGTAAGCCTCAGTTTCCATCCCTCCACACTGAATTACTATGTCAGAAGCCATCCCATCCACCTTCCCCTGTAGCCAAGGACACTGAGGCCCACGGAGGACAGGGAGCATGACAGAGCCCACAGATGTTAGACTAGAACCCAGCTCTTAGCTGACTGCCATTTATTCATGCCAACTGCCTGTGGATAAGAGTTCCCAGCAGCAGCAGGAACCAGCTCCTTCCTTGGTATATGAAACACTAGTAGGTTTTTGTTGTTATTGTTGTTTGGGGTTTGTTTTGTTTTATAGGAATGTGGGAGTGTGTGTGTGTGTGTGTGTGTGTGTGTGTGTATGTGTGTGTGTGTTTAGGGGTTTTTTGGTTTGGTTGGTTTCTGGGTTTTTTGTTTTGTTTTTGTCTTTTTCAGTGTCTCCCAGTAGCCCCAGCTAGCCTGGAACTCACTATGTAGATAGATCTGCCCGTCTCTTCCTCCCAAGTGCTAGGATTAAGTCTGTAACACCACACCCACCAATACTAGTGTTTTGAAGAAAACATGTTCCAAACAGTATGGTCCTGGAAAATCGCTGAGCCCTCCCTGTTTCTTCCTTCCTGTTTTCTGGGATGGTCATAAGAATGCCTTCAAAGATCCAAACATGGGGTTAGCCCAACATGTCAGGACACGGATGTGCCCACATATTGAAAGGCAGGCCCAGAAGTCAACTGTGGTGATGGGCATGGTAGTGTACATGTGTCTATAATCCTAGCACTTGGAAGGCAGAGGCAGGAAGACCAATGTGAATTCAAGGCCAATCTGGTCTACATATCCAGACCAGTCAGAGCTACACCCTGACTCAAAAGAGAAAGGGATGGAGGGAGGGAAGGAGGGAGGGAAGAAGGGAGGGAATTAGGGGAAAGAAGGAGGAAGGGAAGGGAGAGAAGGGCTAGAGAGATGGTCTAGTGGGTTAAGTGCTTGCTGCACAAGTGTGAGGACCTGAGTTCAGCTCTCCCATGACAGAAGGATGCCAGGGTGAGCTCCAGGTTCAGTGAGAGATCTTGTCTCAAAAACTAAGGTGGCTGTCAGGTGTGGAGGTACAAGTTTTTAATCTCATACTTGGGAAGCAGAGGCAGCCAGATCTCTGTGAGTTTGAAACCAGCTTGGTCTACATAGTTCCTGGCCAGCCAGGGCTACACAGTGAGACCCTGCCTCAAAATAGTAACGATGATGATGATGATGATGATGATGATGATGATGATGATGTAGAGAATGATAGAGGAATATACCTGTCATCAACCTCTTCCTTCCACACATATGTACCATACATACACAGAGAGAGAGAGAAAAAAAAGAGAAAGCAACAAGAAAAAGAAGAGAAAAGAAAGGCAGGCCCAGAACCTGCATGGTAGGGAGCGGAGCGGACAGGCGTCAGTGGAGGGTCCCTGCAAGGCCAACCCCACAGCGTGTGCTTTCTCTCCTCTTCCCCTGCTCTCCACAGGCTACGGCCACGCGGCGCCCAGCACCGATGGCGGCAAGGTGTTCTGCATGTTCTACGCGCTGCTAGGCATCCCGCTCACGCTCGTCATGTTCCAGAGCCTGGGTGAGCGCATCAACACCTTCGTGAGGTACCTGCTGCACCGGGCCAAGAAGGGGCTGGGCATGCGGCGCGCCGACGTGTCCATGGCCAACATGGTGCTCATCGGCTTCGTGTCGTGCATCAGCACACTGTGCATCGGCGCAGCCGCCTTCTCCTACTACGAGCACTGGACCTTCTTCCAGGCCTATTACTACTGCTTCATCACACTCACCACCATCGGCTTCGGCGACTACGTGGCGCTGCAGAAGGACCAGGCGCTGCAGACGCAGCCGCAGTACGTAGCCTTCAGCTTCGTCTACATCCTCACCGGTCTCACGGTCATCGGCGCGTTCCTCAATCTCGTGGTGCTGCGATTCATGACCATGAACGCCGAGGATGAGAAGCGCGACGCCGAGCACCGCGCGCTGCTCACGCACAACGGGCAGGCGGGCGGCCTGGGCGGCCTGAGCTGCCTGAGCGGTGGCCTCAGCGACGGGGCACATCCCGGCGACTCGGCCACGTGCTCCGCGGCCCCGGGAGGCGTGGGTGTCGGCGTCGGCGGCAGCGGCTTCCGCAACGTCTACGCTGAGGTGCTGCACTTCCAGTCCATGTGCTCGTGCCTCTGGTACAAGAGCCGTGAGAAGCTGCAGTACTCCATCCCCATGATCATCCCGCGGGACCTCTCCACATCCGACACATGCGTGGAGCAGAGCCACTCGTCCCCGGGAGGGGGTGGCCGCTACAGCGACACGCCCTCTCACCGCTGCCTGTGCAGCGGGACGCAGCGCTCAGCCATCAGCTCCGTGTCCACCGGCCTGCACAGCCTGGCCACCTTCCGTGGCCTCATGAAGCGCAGGAGCTCAGTGTGAACCACAGCCAGGCCTGGAGCATCTGCCAGCGAGCGGGGTCGGGGTCCAGCCTGCAGGAGCAGGAGGAGTTAGCCAGGAGCCCCCTTCCCCAGATGCCTTCGGGCTCGTGGGACTCCCCCAGTCCCCCACCACCACCCTCTTCCCAGCCCCTCCATCTTCAACTGTGCCTGCTTGCACCAGCCAGCAGGTGGCGGGGGTCTAAGGACCCCTGGAGCCCCCATCAGAGCCCTATGAATTCCGAGAAATGTGAAACTTGGGGGTGGGGAGGATGGTCCACCGAGGGAAGGCAGCCACTGGGAGCTTCCCATCCCTTCGGAAAGCTAAGAAGCTCCCCAGACCTCAGAAGCCCTGCTGGGACCCAGTCATCCCACCTCCCTAGGGGACTTCTGTCTGTTCGTTTGCATCTCTACTTATACCTCCCCCGGGCTCTCCAAAAGCCAGGGTGTCTTTGTCCAGGTCACACCCACTCAGTCCCACCCAGCTCCCTCATCCCCAGCAGTGTCTCCTAGCCTTCCACTATCTTCTGTGTCGTTTTGCATGGCTATGCAGTTATGGAAAAAATGGAAACCTCAGCAGTCCCTTAAGCTAGTCCCCAGAGGGCAGGACGAAATGAACGGACAGGTCAGCCACAGGAGCTGGAGAGAGAAGAGTGGAGAAACAGTGGCTCCCAGCTCTGCAGGGTGACAGGGCCTGCAGGTGAGCTACCTGGAGTCTGATGCCACTCTCAGGGCCCCTGGGAGACTGGAGCCTTCAGGACTCTGCCCTTGGAATCTGAAACACAGACTCCTGCTTGCTGTCCCTGGCTGCTGCTGCTGCTACTCACCAACTCTTCAGTACATGGAGTGGTTTTTTTAATCCCGGAAACCCTGTCCTGCCTCCTCATTCGAGTGTCACAACACTCCCATTAGATCCATTTTTCAGATGAAGAAAACAGGTGAAGTGACTTGCCCAAAGTGATGCAGGTCACAAAGGGGAACGAGAACCCACAGGCTTGTTCCCAGCCTAAGTGCTCTTCCTTGTTCTCACAGTTCAGCCTGCTCTTCAAGGCAGAGCCCCTGCCCAGAGCACCGTGGCATTGTGTAGGGATCTGGGGCTTAAACCAGAATCAAAAGTCCCAGTCAGAGCCCCTGCCAAGGCTCTGTCTCTGCTGCTCTTAGCCTAGAGGCTGAGGCTCTAAATGGAGCTTTGTCTCTAGACTGCCTGCTCACAAGCAGAGAGTCCTTGGGACCAAGGTAAGCAGGACTGGGTATCATGGAATAAAAGCCAGGAGCTGGAACCCTAGGAGCTTAGGGGGTTGGGCAGAGCAGCCAAAACAGCTCACAGGTCTATCCTGGGACATTATCCCTGGCCCCATAGTCAGGGTAGGTACCTGTGTCCCAAGTTGCTAGAGTAAGACTTATAGTACAGCCAGGAACACTTCCTGGCGGGGAAGGGGTTAGACCTGGTATGCCCTCTACCTCTCCCCCACCCCCTGACTTGCACCCCAGAATCAGAGAAGGAGGATGGCTTGCTGTGGTAACCCTTAGCTTGAGATAGGATAGTGCCCAAAACAACCATAAGGGCAGGTGTAGGGCTGGGGATGTAGCTCATCAGAATGCTTGCTTAGCATGCTCAAGGCCCTGTGTTTGGTCCCCAGCACCACAAAAAAAGGGGAAGAGGAAGAACTTTCTCCTCCCTTGGGCTGCCTTCCATTGTCTCCAGGGCCAGCTCCGCACTGTTGAGCAAGGCCATTGGGGAAGCTAGAGGGAGCCCCACCATGTCCTCTAGTCCCTGGGGATTCCTTAGATAGAAGAAATCAGGCCTGCATGTGTTCTGTGTCCACGTGGAAGAGCTGGCTGCCCATGTGTCAAGGAGAGTGGGGCCCAGGAGCTGGAGAGGTGCTGTCTGTGTTTGTGTTGGGCTGGGGTCAGTGCTTGGCTGCCTTTGTCCTGTGTGTGACCCCGCCCTCGAGGGGTCAAGTCCCGTCAGATCCGAGGGAGCCACAACCAAAGTTACAGAGAGAGGGTGGGGAAGGCGGCAGAGTGGCCCTAGAGGCTGAGCATGGGGGACTGCTGGTCTCCCACAGGGTCTTGCCTAGGGAACTAGAAGGCCACTGTCACTTCCCGTCTCACCCCCTCCCACTGCAGGCAGCCTTTCTGCTTTTCCAATGCCTTATGCCTGGGCACACTGCCACAGAATATGCAATATGTGTGGGTGCCATGCCCCACACCCACGCCCACCCGGGCAACCCCTGAGTCCCTGAGCTGTGGCTGCCCTGGCCCCTCTCAGCAGCTCCTGCCCATCTGTCTTCACACTGAGAATGGCGCCTAATAAATGCTGTCCATGGAGACCAGGCTCCGACTCCTGCTCCTCTGTCATTGATCACTCTTACTGCTGCCTAGTCGTCCCCTCACCCGACCCAGTAGGGTCTACAGATGAGCCTAGCAGATTCCCCTCGGGCTCTGCTTCAGGAGCCTTAAGTAGAACCCTGGAGTCAATCCTGGCTTCACATGGGAATTTCCCAAACAATCCAGATCCCTTCAGTGTCATCCTGGACTGAGAGTGATAGGGGCCTCAGAAATAGCCCTGTCCTACCCCTCTTTCTTATAAGTAAATTGAGGCCAGAGAAGGCAAGTCATTTGCCTTGATTCACACAGCCATGAACGATGGTGACCTAGGATAAGAAGCAAAGCTGGGGATCCCCCTCTTCCCCTCCTCACCCTGCCTACAGAGTCAAACAGGACATACCCCGGCTCCCTCATTACCTCCCTGTCAACTGGGAGTGACATGGCCTCTACTTCAGCAGAGGCCTCTGACTCAGTGGCCCAATGGACACACAAATGTCTCTTTCAAAGAAGAGCACATCACAAGCGCTTTTATTTAGGGATCTCTTTTTTTCAGGGTGTAGAGGGACACCTCAGGTTTGAGAATAAACCTGAGTCCAAGACAGATGTAGAAGACAGATCCACGCTGCCCAGTTGGTGCCGGCACCAGGATTGCTAGCCAGTTGCTTTCAGGTTTCACTGAGCATGAGCCATAGCAATACATTTGACACCACAATCTCTCTGCATAACCATTCTACCATGTACCAGTATGTACAGATCTGTCCTATACTGTCTGCTGTTATACATGCTAGCTGTAATTCACTCAGTCCATTTCTCTACCCACAGTGACTTGGTACCTACAGATTAACATGATAGAGAAATAAGGGACACCCTCTCCATCTTCCCTCCTACCTACTTAGAGCAACTGAAAGATAGACAAGCACTTATTTATGAGGATGGAGGTTCTGGGTTCAAAGAAAGAAGGGGTGACATCTGTGCCCTCTCCAGGACATGGGTGCAGCCAGCCCCCTTAGGATGCATCTCTGGCTGCCCCTTGCGGTAGCATGCAGGTTTAGGGACATGCTCCTTGGTAGTATGTGGCCCTGGGGTGGGCACAGCAGAACCATGGTTTACTCCCTTGGCTTCCTCACTACTAACATGACTTCATCAAAATTGGGTCTCCCAGCCAGGGCCCAATCCTGCCTCTCTCAGATCAGTGAAATGCAATGTCAGCAGAGGTGGATCACTCCTGGAGGTCAGTGGTGGCCAGCACAAGGTCATTTGTGCTTTCTTAAGCAGTGCTTGCAGGACACAAGCACGATGGCTCCTGACCTTCTTTCACCATCGCCTGGGCAAATCAATTACAAACAGGCATTGCAGGGATCCCCAGGGGAACTGCACCCAGCCCTGCCTACAACTTCCCATAGCTCAGAACTGTGGGGGTTCTGACCTGGGCTCTCTGTGTCCAGACGCTACCAGCCTTGTCCTCCTCACTTCCATGTGCATCTGAGGCCACCTGTCCTGGAAGATAGACAGAAAACCTCCACTGAAGAGGAGCTGGGGACAAATGTCTCAAGTTCCCACTGGCTTGGTGACTTGGGTGAACATTGATGAAAACAAGTTTCCTGGGAGCTAAGAAAGAAAGAGGGGTAAGATGGCAACTCTTCTCAGAATGTGTCACGCATGCTTCATAGGAAAGGGACTTAGCAGGGCTTGGTGACTCACACTGTGATTCCAAGCTTAGAAGGCTAATGCAGGAGAATTGACACAAGTGTGAGGCCAGCCTGACTACAGTGTGGACTGACTACAAGCCACCTCTCTCAAAACACCAAAAAGGAAAAGAAAGGCAGTCCTTGATCCTTGGTCAAATGAATTTGGGAGAAGTCTGTATACATCCCGGAATCTTGGGGTATCACAAGATTCTTAGCTTAATTAAAGGTTCTGAGAAGTCCTGCAACAAAGACACTATTTACCTTGGCTTAACCCAGCACCATTCAAATTCATCTCAAGCAGCAGACCTCCTGTTTGCCTGACACTTCACATTCCAAGTCTCCCAAAGCATACTTTGAGACCTGCTCAGCTATCATACTACCACTGATAGATTGGCCTCATCCTTCCCTCTCATCCCCTACTACTACAAGAAGTTTAGGGATTAGGGATATAGTACAATGGTTAAAGTTCTTACCTAGCATGCACAAAGCCCTGTATCTGATCCCCAGCACTGCATAAAGGTAGGACACGCCTATAATCTCAGCATTTAGGAGGTGGAAGCAGGAGGACCAGGAAAGGAGTTCAAGGATACTCTTGGATACACAGTGAATTTGAGGTCAGCCTGAACTACTTAAGACCCTCTATCAATCAATTAATCAATCAATAAATAAATGTAACTTGTAGTATATCTATAATTGTTAGCTATAGCAACATAAAATACATGTATGGTGCTCAGTTATGTGCCAGGTCAAACCATGAGCAGCCCACTGGCCCAAGATCAGACAGTAAGTTGGTGGTAAAGTTGGGATTGGGACCCAGGCAGATGGCTGCATGGACAAAGTATGTGTCCTCACCCACCCCATTGGACACTGCCTAGCAGTAGTCCCAGTCACATGGGTGTGCAGGTGGATATGTGTGTAGAGGTCAGAGGACAACCTTGGGTATTGTTCCTCAAGAGCTCCCCTTTTTTGTTGTTGTTTTTGAAACAGTATCTCTCACTGCCTGGAGCTTGCCAAATAGTCTGAGCCAGCTGGCCAGTGAGCTCCAGGAATTACCTGTCTCTGCCTCCTAAATGCTAGGATTACAGCATACACCACTATGCTCATCCAGGGCAAAAGAGGGATGGCAGAGCCAGGGAAGGATGAAGTCAGAATGGACAGATAGAGGAAAGAGCAACTGCCCAGGGTCACCACAAGGAGCTCTTTGCCCAGGGCTGCCTCAGCCATTGTCACTGAGGAACATGAGACCAAGATGTTCCCTCTCTGTCCCAAAGCTGGATTCAGGTTATGAGGCTGAGGGACACTTTCTCAGAGGGCTCAATAAGTCCTTGGTAGACTCAGTGTCTTCCTGCACAGTCAAGCAGAGCCTTGATGCTGCAGTAATAACAGTCATCCAGCTGCCACCCCCTCTTGCCAAAGGGTGCGAAGAAATGTGTATGTGCATGGGTACCTCGATGGGAGGACCAAATCCCGACTTTGAGAAAAAAAGAAACTGGGTTCACAGAGAAGGGACATGCTCAAGGTCATGAAAGAAGATAATGATACAGCCAGGATTAGTAGTCACAGATCTTGACTTGAGAGAGAGAGAGAGAGAGAGAGAGAGAGAGAGAGAGAGAGAGCCCAGGCTCCTCTACATCTGATTTTGGAAGAAAGCTGCTGATCCTGGGGTTGACTCACTTTGATGCTGGAAATTTACAGCATCCACATCTGGGTAAAATAGAAGACTCACACTAACCCATCTCTCAGCTACAGAGAGGGCCTGGGGTGGGGGGGGGGGTTGACCTCCATGCTACCCTCTGGTCAGTGACCTCCCCAAAAGTTCACATTAACAACATTTCCCATGTCATGCTCTCATTTGACCATGAGGACAACATGATTTAAACAAGAATTAACACCCTGATCTACATACAGCTGGAGGACCATACAGAGAGCTTGTTGTCAGAGGCACTGAGCAGAGCCCAGAGCTTTCCTGGTGAGTAGTATGCAGGGCCAGGACTGCAGTCAGTCTCCCAGGGCTTTGGGCCAGTCAGCACCTCACTATTCACAGTTTCTCAGTGTGCTGGACAGGTTCCATGGGTAGAAAGGGGCCCAGGTAAACACAGTTCCCAAAAGTCATTGGTAAAGGGGGCCAAGAAGTTAGGAACCCTTTGCCCACATCACCCTGTGCCCTGGACTTTGGACCAAGATCAGTAGAATGTCCAGCCAACAACCCCTGCCCTCAAGGGAGAAGACAAAGACAACACCTTTGACCCAGGCCACCTCCCCACGTCTGCACTCTGCCACAGATATTGCTCCCTAGAAGAGGGCACCTGAGACAAGATCATCCCTGACTGTGGAATACAGTGGGCTCACTCCAGGATCAGAGGCAGGAAGGCCTGACCTTGCTCTGGACTCAGCCTCAGAGTTGGAGAGATGACACTGTCCCCCTAGACTGTGAGGATTGAACCTAGAAGAGCAAAGATGTCCCAGGACTGGGAGCCTGGCTGAGCCATAGTCCTCTGCCTGCACTCCAGTCCTCTCTCCCCTTCTTTGTAGCAAAGAATCTCATTCTGCCTTGATCTGAGAGCCAGCAAAGCTCTACAGACACTTGCCTGGCAGTGGTCCTGTGCAGCAGGTTCTTGTCCTCCCCAAAGAAGGTCCCAGAGACTGGAGGGTGTACCCACTAACACCTGAGCTCAGCCCTCCCACGATACCCCAGGTCTACCCTACTCAGCTCTCACCAAGTAAGAATCTACTTCCCCCAGCAAGTAGCCCTGGCCTACAGGACATATCCTTCCAAAAAGTCCTCTCACCCACTGAGTGGCAACTCTAAGGACCACCATGTCTTCCTTTCACTGAAACAAGAGCTGCATCTAGCCTGGACCTGTCCCTCTGAGGCTGTCACTGGAAGGCAGAGGATGTCATCCAAACCAGTCAAAATGGTTCCCTACGTGGACAGGAAGCTCCAGGGCTTCTTAGGTTTAAATGCTCAACTTTTTCGACTACCTTTCCTGTAACCACATGTCTGGATGCCCCACCAACCTGATCCCCTTCTTAAGAACAGCTTCAACATTCCTCTAGCCCAGTAGCTTGATATGCTGTGTTGTCCCAGCCACTGCAGAAGTAGCACCCGCCCACCTCCTCTGGTCTAGATATGATTCGCATAGTAATGCAACTCAAGCATACATCTAACTTTTAGATAGTTGCCTCCACTAAGCTTGCAGCCCACCAGCCCCTTCCCCTGGAGTTTGTCATGAGAATCACTATGGCAGACACTAAGAAAGAGCTACCCTTCTGCCTGTGACAGAAGGCTGACATTTTTCAGATGCCCACCCTTCCCTGA